GTGACGTCCACTATTGTATCGCGGGGCAATTACAGCGAACGAGTCGAACAAACACACAATGTATAATTCAGAACATCCTGCATTTCTGCAGCGCACTTCCTCACGCCAACAGTATTCATTACCAGAGCAGCAGATTTATTTTTAATGCACTGACTTCGCTGCTTTCACTTATTTATACTGTTTATTGTGTGTTTAGCTCCCAACGTTTGGGCGTCAGGCTGATTCTCTTCTAAGAAGCTGACTTAAATAGCTGGATTATGAAGCTCTTAACCAACTTAAAGTGGATACAATGAATGCTCAAGACGTGACGTGTAGTTAATCAATAAAAGATTTTTGTTTTTGTTTCAATTTTTCTCTCTCTGATGGTTTAAAAAGAAAAAGATACCCAGGAATAACAGTATATATTCAGGTTCCAAGGGTAAAAAAGCGTTTTTGCCTACTCTTGGCTCTGTGTGATGTCAGCGACTGGAAATTTCCCCAATGTCATCTCAGGTTCACAGTTTTGGCTGTGAACAGGAAAGACCTTACTGATGATTACAACTCCTGTTTGCGAGGGGCAGCAAATCAGAAAAACGCTGGCTTAAAGAGGGGACATCCTAAAAAGAATGTAGGCTGTAAAACAGAGGTGTCAAGCCCATTTATTACAAGAGCCATACAGTTAAATCTGAACTAAGGTGATCCAGAAGACTAATAACCTTCTGAAAACCTTCACATTTCATGAACTAGATTCCTAAAACTAATCACGACCAGTTTGAGAGTTGGCCAGACTAAATTCATTACACACCTCAGCTGAGGGGGTTATAGGTTAACAAATACATACAGAAAATGTACTGTTTATTCAAAGATGTCCTTTTTTCCCTGTAGAGTCACAGTAATAATATAATAAAACAGGAACTTGTCTATCGATTCATTCATGGTAAAAAGCCACCTTGTTTTGTATTTTTTGAAGGTGTTTCTATTACCTATTCAGGCGTAGTATGACAGGTGAGGGTGGTGTCTTTGTCAGAAGGTTGTAAATATGACAGTGATTCAAACCTCAGTTTGGATGTGATTCATTCGTAGGAATAAAACACAGTTGAAAGTTCACACTTACTCCATTGCATTTTCCACAATTTCCACTATCTGGGCCACATGTTTGACACCTCTGTTCTAAAACAACTTGTTTCAGTGGGATTGATTAGACCGTACCCCCAACTTTCCAGCAATAAGTTTCACAAATGACCACCATCTGCTCTGCTGCAGTACCAAACACATTTTTAATAATAAGGAATGGAGCTGCTGTTCTGGGCAAACTTCTTCTGCATTGTCTTTTCGTATTCAACAACATGCAGCCCTATATAGCAAAAGCTCTTAATTTCTAATAGGACAATATCAGCTTGTATTAGACTCTATTAATCTCATAATCAGCCAACTCTTGTCTAATGCCCCATTAAGTACGTTTCACAACATGATTAATTTTTTTCTTTGTTAAGGTGAACTCGGTCTGAGTTACTGTTTAAGCGGCCACAGTGGAAAGTCCAACCAATCCCTTGGCAGCAGCCTGCAAATGGACAAAGCCTGGTGTTGAGGGGTCAGTGGGGTCAGTTGGGCACGGTACTCGTGAAGGCTTTCTCCTTAGAAGCCAAAGTGAAACACTGAGCAAAAATCCCCACGATCCACCCAGCGACCCGAGTCATGGGACTTTCCCCCTCAGCTTCTTTAACGATGCGAGGTGATCATGTCGGTGCTCTAACCAATTCCTGGAATACCTGTCGTAGAGCAGCTACACAAAGAGCCTCTGACTACACTCCTGTTGAGCGCTGGAATCCAAACCATGTTCAGCGTGCAACATGAGTGGGCATGATCCGACATTCCACCTGACAACGAGCGCACCTGAGAGCTGCTAATCTCTATTCACTACCCCTGCCTCTGCGTTCATGGAGTGAAGTGTCAGGAGCAGCTGCTGTACTCGTTGCTTTGGCTGCAGAAAATGCAAGTTTGACTCGTGGCTGCTCAAACAACTGATATCATCTCTCATTCTGATATCAGTCACAAGTATTTCCTGTCAACTCCCCTCTGAATATGAGCAAAAAATAAAAACAACAAAAAAAAAAGAGCCACATGGCCAGTCAGTCTGAGTGGGTATATAAACACCTATAAATACAGAGCAGGTCCAGATTTCTTTTAACATATCAGGATAAGCAGGATGTGTCCTCCTGCCAGGGCAAATGCAACCCACAGCTCAGTGTAAACAACACACAAGGAGGCATTCTGGGTAGACAGGAAGAGGTTAGAGCAACACCACCTCGGCTGGAGAGGGGAAGTTCTTAGTCCTTACTGCAGAGACAAAGATTAGGCAACAAGGCAGTGAACAAGAAGCAAACAGGCCACAGTCAAGACTCTGCAAGACATCCCCGCGACTGATTCATAGTGTATGGTATGCCAGTTCTTCTGGCTCCGGATTAGACTTCCCTGTTTCTTGTGTCTGTGAAAAATCCCATTTAAATGTAGATGACAGAGTCAGTGCTGCTACTCCCCATCTCCCAGTGTCATCCTCCGTTTCTCTGCCACCCTCCTTTTTTCCCCCTCCTTGCCTGCCTCAATGTTGCTGAAACTGCAGTGAAATCGAAGATATTTGATGGGCCGTGACGGCTGCAGGGTGGAATAAAAAAAAAAAATAGAAAAAGTCCACAATCGCATTTTGCAGCACGATGCCAAACTACTCAAAAAATCAGCTGAAGACACTGGTAAAAATCATCTCAAACTAAAGGGGGGAAATACATTTAATGTGCAGGAAAACACTAGGTGTTATAGTTAAGAGAGCTAATTGCAAGACATAGATTTACAGCTGTGTCATTGAGGTACACACAAACACACACACACACACACACACACACACGCTCGCAGACCGCTAAGAAGCCAAGCGTATTTTTGAGGCTTTGCTTCTAAAACCAGTAAAGCCCCAGAGCATTTCAGAGAGCAGCATTAGGGTGTCAGCATGTGGGCTTTGTGTGATGATGACCATGGTGCCGTTATTCCCCACTAATTTCTTTTAGTCACCTAAACATCTGCGCTCATCTGGATGAGGATGCGGCTCAGGCTTATGGAGAAAAGCACTTCATTTGACGTGATTTCTCAGAAAGTTTCTGCACGTTTTTATGCTGCAGCAGCTCCCCAACTGTTTGCTTAGCTGACATTGGAAAACACAAGCGCTACTTCAGCAGAAGCAGTTAACCTTCGACCCTGAATCGAACTTGTTATGACCAGGGTTATCACTTAAGCGCCATAAAAAGAACAATGAGACAAGCTGCAGCTGGAGCGTGTTCATTTAGGTTACACCTGATTATCACAGGACACATGACCACGTGCATCTGCCTCTGTGAGCCCACCCCCTTGTAGAGTGGCTGTGAAACGCTTCAGTGTCTTTGTCTGAGGAAGAGCTTAGAGGTGGATGAGGTGTCTCTCCTAACATGACCTTGCTGCATTGCCCTTATGAACACACACACACACCAATCACATGATGGGAAGCAGTGAAAGTCTGAGCAGGCATCTGACACTAAACAAGACGTTTCGGGTTGTGGGTGCACCTCAAAGATGATCCCTGGCTTTGTCTTCTCCCTCAGACTCACACATCACACTACCTACTGTTACAGCTGTATAATAAATGGATGCAAAGTGGCTCTCTACAGTTGCAGCGACGGTCAGCTTGCTTCATCAATCTTTTGTCTGTCTGCGCTGATCAGCTGGGCAACAACTAAGGCTGTCTGGGCAGCACCTGCTGTAGGGATCAGAAATAACGAGGGAGCCTGCTTTTATCTTTAAGAGCAGGATCGAGTGATCGAGCTGAGGGCTGAGGACCACAAAAGTGCTAACAGGAGGTCCAGTCACAGAGTACCACCAGTGCTATTGGAGGCAGCCTCTTAATTAATAGGTTTAAAGGGATCTACTAGTTTGTTAACACCACAACAGCCATCAGTACAAAGAGTCTTCCTAAATAGGCACCCGTGGGTGTCTATGTGTTTGCAATCCCCCAGTGTAAACACACTGACTGGGTCACTTCCCATTCACAACAACCAGCCCACCCCACCAAAAAGCGATAAGTAACGCTAAGCCCGACCATCTGCCCTGCACATACCTCGGCACACAGCTGGGCGAGGAGCGGTCCACCTCCCAGGTAGCGTACAGGTTCATATGGACCGGCCGGTTGGAGATGCTGACCGGCTTGGAGGGCTGCATGTGCGGCGAAGGGACGCCCCCAGTCCGCGGGAGCCCTCCTCGCTCCGACATCCTGGAGGCTGAAAACGGGCTTTCACGCGGAGCTAATGGGGAGAATACCCGTAGTAGTCTGCCTTCTCCGTGTGTTGTCCTTCCTCTGGTGCTGTAGCTCCGTCTCCGCGCTTCGCTTTGCCTTGTTTTTTCAGGCTCCGGATGGTGCAGGCGAGCGAAGCGCTAACAGGAAAGTGCTAATCTCCGCCTGACAGTGAAAACATCGCAGTCTCCGGGGTTTCTACCGGGCGGCAGGCGGCAAATCCCCGCGGCTTTCTCCGTCTCTCCCTCTGCTTAAGTTGGTGTCGGCTCGGTGTGTGTTCGCCGCTGGTGTTTATCGGTGCAGGAAGCGGAAATTTCTCTCGCCGAAGTCGCACAATGAGCAGAGAGCAGCGAGAGCAACGCCTCTACTGAGGACGTAGAGCGACTCCTGAGCGCGAGACTCACAGACAGGAGCCGGCCAATCACAGCTGCTGCTGTTACTGCGTTTGAACGCCACACGCACTTTGTTCACCACTGCAGACTCAACTATCCTTAGTTTTAAACTTATTCAGTATATCGTATTTTTATTTGTCTTATTATTGAACATTGCTGAAATAAATTTCTATTTTTATCATTTTTTATTTTCTTCTATTTTAAATATGTTTTGTTTACATTTTTATATTCATTATATATTTTTAATACATTTAAATTTGCTAGCTTACTATTTATTTTAGTTTATTTTTTAGATAAAGGCATGCAACTCCACCAATGGAGAAATTAATTAAATCATAATATTAATAATAATATAACATTTATTTTATTATACATGTATTTATTATATACGTGTGTCCGTGTGAGTGTGTATTTTATGTTCTCTCTTTGAAATGTAGAGTTTTACATTTTAAAAATTATTTTAAAATATATTTTACATTTTCCACTTAATTTATTTGTTTCTTTATGAGGATTGGAATGTGGTTATTAGAAGTGGTAGTAATAATGTTAGCAAGTTTTACAAATGTACTTAGTTTATTTTAATCTTTTAATTATTGATTGATTGTTCAGTTCAATTTTATTTGCAAAGCACCAACTCACAACAAGAGTAGCCTCCAGGTGCTTTATATTGTAAGGTAAAGATCCTACAATACCAGAGAGAAAACCCCAACAATCAAATGGAGTTTTCTGCCTTTGGTGTCAGTGGAAAGAAAGAACTCCCTTTCAACAGGAAGAAACATTTTGCAAAACCAGGACCAGGAAAGGAAACAGGACAAAATGAAACACTAAATAATTGCTAATAATTTAATGCAGAGTTGTGTATAGACACATGGGTAATAGAAAAAGCCCATCATGGGAATCCCCTGGCAGTCTGAACCTATTGCAACATGACCAATGGAGGATTCAGGGTCACCTGATCAAGACCCAACTATATGTTTTATCAAAAAGGAAAGTTTTAAGCCTAATCTTAAAAGTGAAGAAGGTGCCCACCTTCTGAATCCAAACTGGGAGCTGGCTCCACAGAAGAGGGGCCTGAAAGCTGAAGGCTGTGCCTCCCATTCTACTTTTAAATACTCCAGGAACAACAAGTACGTCTGATTATATCTGTGCTTACAGGATTTGCATACTGCTGTATATTCTCAGGAATAATGTGGACAGCCTAAAAAAGAAACTTAAAATATGAATTGATGAAGAAAGAGGGAGCAAGAGTGTCCTTACAGGAATATAGCCTATAACCTATGTGTGTGTTCAACGGTGGCACATGCTCCTGGAGAAATGCCTTTAATTACCCACAGCAACAGCGTGTAACTAAAAGGATCAGTTCAGGACATGAACAGCTAAAACGAAACATCTTTTAGGTCAGTGGGATGATGTTTGTTTGTGTGTTTGTCCAACGTTTCAGATCTAAAACTGAAAACATTCTTTTTTGGCAAAGATCATCATTATACAAATAGCACACACTGAAGCAACACCTCTTCCTGTTCACATATGCATTAATTCAAATCCTAAAGAAGGTCCAGAGGTAATATTTACCCATGATTCAATGTTTTGTTTTGTTTTTACCTTACACCTCTTACTGTAAAGCTTCCATATAAATCTGTACTACGAAGGCCCCAGTCAGGTGTTTTACTGAGGATCCTTTTGCAAATTGCTCTGTTTTTGACCCATATTGCACACCGTCTGGAGTCTCAGGCGCTCCTGTAATAATTCCCATTAGTCATTTAGTCATACACACGTGTAGATTCTTTCACACACACACCTATGCTCTGTCAGCTGTTATGAGAAATATGCAAAACCGGTTAGAGTGTGTGAATTGAGATTGCTTTCCTCTCATTCTCTTCACAGTTTCCAAGATCTGCCAGAAAAGACATCAGATTTAATATTCAGCAAAGAGCTGGCTCATTTTCATATGGTGGCAAAACAGTTTTGTTTGCATGTGACTTTAAACTCACAAAGAAAACAGAAACTCACACACACAAACAGGCCTTTTAACCTACACCCCACTGCACTTCTGTGCGAGCCATCCACCCTCTGACACAAAAGCCACCATGAGCCTCCTCCGGGTTTGGCTGCCTGTCAGTGCAGCGTGAAGCAGGTGCAGCGTTTGCACCTTCAGGTGACAAAGGCACTGCTCTGATGACAATCTCTGCATCTGAATATGAATCAGAAGGTGACCTAATGGCAGCGTCACAGCCGGGGCCGGCTGCCATCAGCTTGACGTCTCTCTACAGGCAGATTATCCCAGCTGTGATCGGAGCTTACAAAAACATTACGCGCTCGAAATGTTCACGACAGCCCGAGGATACGCACATAACTGCACTTTAATGAAAAATTGATAGAGCCATGTTTTGGCCCTTTTTTTTCTATTCCTAGATTATGCTGCATTCAGAGGATGTGGGACATCTCAAAACTCTTTGTAAATATTTAAAAGGCTTTAAAGCACACAGATATCATTTTTCTCGCATTAAGATTTAATGATTAAAACACATATCTGTTCTTATATCGTACTTTTCGGTGTTTCTTTTTTAGCCAATATTAAGCAGGGAGTGCATGTTAAAGAGTTTGGACTTGTCATTAGTTCTCACTGGTTTTTGGGATAATCAGCTGATTTGCGTAAACACAGAGCACCCTCCCCTCCTTCCCTCTGCTCTTTTTAACAAGCTTCTCTCACCACCACCAGCTCCTGCCATTGATAAAGAGATTAGAATGGAGCAGATTAAAACATGGTCACGGGATAATCCCGGGTTACTCTTTACACAGCGGCCTAAATCTGCAAAGTCATCAAGTGACACTGTAAAGGCTCCAAACTCCAGTGTCACAGTCAATTAAGTCGACACCGTTTCTTATGCAACCTCAAATCCAGCTCCCATTTTACTGTACAGCAGCCATGTAGTTACAAAGCAGCTGTGTGGTGTGTGCATGCGGTGGAGAGGCGTTACACTCATCTGTGTTTGTGACAGATTTACTAACCACACCAGTGCATGCTGTTATATCAGGCTGATTGGATTATTGCTAGAGATCTAAAATGATAAAAGTAGTTATTGTTTCTTTAGGCAGAAAAAAACATAACAAAAAAATCCCCCTAAAATAGTAAATTTATATAACAAATATAAAACATTCACATTACATAAGCAGAACCAGTGATTATTGATTTGTCTCTTTTTAGAATACACAGGAAGATTGCAAATCAACAGCCACACCTTGCATATTTCCCCCATGTGTTACAGGGAAGTGCTGAAAGAAGTCTGTGTGCATTTGCAAAGTTCCTAGTAAGTGAGGCCGAGTACAGCGACTGCAGACGCTGTGCCTGGATAGATGGCTTTGTCAGCAGTATCAAAGTCTTATTTCCTCTAAATGGCCCACTGAGAGTAAAGTTTCAGTCACATCGGTGAAGGAGACATCCTCAAATGTCAGATTCAACACATTTACAGAACCGACCCTCTAAGCTGCTCTTCAGTAATAGCAGCCTATTAAGAAAGCCTTTGTCCTCACAGCTCTGCCATACTGGGAATGCTGGTGCTTTGCTGCCTTTCTCAGGATGGTTAAAGGATCTGATGTGAACAGGCTGTTGCTCCATGTGAGAAGCTGTGTACCAGTGACTGAGTCAGCATGAAGCTGCTGCAGTTATTTAGGTCACTGTGCTTCTCAGACGGTCAGCTGACCTTCATGTTCGGTACTCGTTTGCCTCCTAGCTGCAGAAACCTGAACTACATCTTACTCTCTGAGATTCAGACCTCATTTAGAAGTCTGAGTTGGCCCCTGCTGATGTGTGCTTCCCTGACCACCTTGGTCCAAGCTGAATTTATGTGACATATCTGCTGAAGATCTGAGGCAAACAGCTTTGTACTCTTATTGCATTCACTGTCGATGGAAAGCTCTTTTGACTCGGGTCCATCCAGGGTCATGGCTTTGGAAGCCCACATTAGTTCCTGGAGTACTTCTGAAAGGTTCCTGGGCTGCCAGCCAAGACAGCCATGTAGAACAGCCGATAGTCTGTTAATGCTAAAAATAAATTAGCAATAGAAACACCTCGAGGTGCTGCTCGATTGACCTTTAGAATTGCACTTTACCTGACTGTGAAGCACCAACTAAATACAATTGCATTGAACTTCTAATAGGAATATGTTAGAGGAATAAATTGGTGAGATTAAGTAAAGATTTCTTGCTCTAAAAGTCCTTTTTTAAGCCTTCTTTCTGGTCCACATGTGTTTAATAGCCATAGTGGAGAATATATAATATATATATATATATATATGTAAAGTTGCCCACTCTTTTTCCTTTCTTTCTTTTTATTCCAAGATGTCTGGGTTATATCTGGCTCTTTTATCTTCAGTCTGAGCTTGTTTGGATATGGATATTCTGGCCAGGTTAACAGAAGTGATCAGAAGCAGCCTTAAAACTCAGGCAAGAATGTTGCAGCTTCAGTGGAAGCAAAGGCCTCACAGAGACAGTACAGGTCATTAAGGTGCAAAGTCTAAAGTCCCGATACTTCAGCTGACGCAGATGGGGAAAATGTCTTGCATTTTACCACCAGCGTGTAATCACACCTCCCCAAAGAGCGGAATGAAATGAAACAGAAACCCGGAGGCAGTAAGATTGTGAACTCGTGTTGTCACGTCATTTATTTACAAAAAAAAGAAAGAAAAAAAAACATGGTTACCATGAAAAAAACAAAACAAAAACAAAACCAAGACCTTAAAAAGTTCAACACAGAAAAATGCACCTTGCCACAGTCATGTGACACTGACTACATGAGACACGCCCACGCTGTTGATTTACAGTTTACTGTTAAAGCGCTAACAGATGATCGGTGCTGCAGTGTGCATCCTCTGAAATTCAAATCTGCCTCTTCCTCTTTCATTTCCTGCGGTGGACGACTCTCTCGCTGAGCTTCGTTTTGGTTCATCTCCTCTAGAACTTGAACTCTTTGTATTTCTTGGCGCCGCCTCGCGTGTCCTGCGGCTGGGCCTTCCTCTTTTTTTGCTGTTTGGCGACAAGGAAGAAAAAACAGAGGAGGGGGAAACTATTAATATTCAAATGTCAACCCAAGGGAAAACCTAAATGACTATTGACTTCCACTTTCCTTTAAGTTATAAACAGAACTCATTTACAGTAACACGCTGGTAATCGACACATCAGGTGTGTTGGACATGACATCAATGACATGGGAACTAGTAATTTTTGACCTCTTAAACAAACACAATTGATTTTTTTTTGCTTTGAACTCCTCTGCTATCTGCCTGCAACATTTCTTTAAAGCTTCCGGGGGCTGAGCGTGTAATCGGAGCAGAAATCAGCTACACAAAAACATTTGTGTGAAGGAAAAATGTTTTTAAAAAGCCACTAATTGTGTGTCTTAGTACCTTCTGTTTGGCTGCGTGCTCAGCCACCATGTCGCTGAAGTCCTCCTTCTCCACCTGAGCCTGCTGCTCTCTCACGTGCTCCTCGTACTTCTGCGTCATGGCCATTGGGTCCAGCTCCAACTCCTCCGGGGCCAGGGCCACCTCCACGCCCTGCGACTCCTGCCCTCCGCCAGCCTTACGACTGGCCATGGCCTGAGGACAGCAGAGAGGTATTTAAGATTCAGCTAGAGTGGCAGAGGAAAACGGGAACGAAAAGAAAAATGGCTGCAATGTCATTTCATTTGGACACACTTCTCCTTACCGCTGACATTTCGTAAATGTGCGTCGAGGCCATCATAGCTGCTCCTACTGGGCCCGTTCGTCTTTCAGGGAGAACAGTGAACAGCTGTGGCGTCTCATTGCTGCAAAACAAGAACGTGTCAAACTAAGAAAAGCACACGGTGCTTCAGAAACACTGAATAGTTCTAGCTTTTTCTAAATGAATGCCATTTCTATTAAAGTGTGGCATTAGACTTTATAACACTTAGAAAAATCAGAGTGGGTGTGATGACATTTTCTCCCTGCTGTTTACAGCAAAAGTGACTCATTTATTTTTTTTTTTAGACAGCATCACTCATATAAATAAATGTGAATGGGTCATTCCATGTCAGCTCCTCAAATGCCATCAAATACCAGGACAGTTTGTCTCTGGATGAAATTGTCTCTTTTTTCCTTATATTTAAGCTTTAATATCTGTGAAACCTTATTTGGACTGTTTTAAAGGATATTTAAACAACCTCGATCATCCGTCATTCTTTGTTAGCTTTACAGAACTGTAGTACCGGAAGATTTCAAGGACCCAACTCCAATACTCTCAAAACTGGATGCTGGGAAAACATCTAAAAACACCCCAGTACTCACTCTTGAAATACTTGGAGCCAAAATGCACAATTTCTATTAAGAAGTGCATTTTTCACTTTTAGGTTGTTTTTTTTTTAAAGATAAATCTGATGATCCGATGGTTAAGTAAAGAGGCACTGAGTGGAGCAACACTCACCCATCCATTGCCTCCTCGATCTTCTTCTTCCTCAGCTCGATCAGCTCCGGGGTCTCCATGCCGGCTGGTACTGATGAGAAGCCTCCCGGGGTGATCAACCCACTGAAACACACAAAGTGACACACAGCACACGGTGAGTTTATTGGTGAGCACAAACTTCAGAAACTAATAGCTGTGGGCACACATGCA